CATTCTATTAATCTCTCTATGTGGTTGTAAAAATGCAATGAGACTGCATAAAATGGAAAATTCTACTATTTATTTGACAAAACAAAGGACAACACTTTTCCTGTTACTTTGCTGATGTATATGGATCTTGAGCTGGATATTCATTTAAATTGAAGTAGGCAAACATTTGAAAGTGTTAAAAACGATTTGCATTTGTTGCTATTGGCATTCATCTGCTCTTATTTTATTATCACGCCTGGCCATATGAATGATCACATTTTTGTTAAATGGTCATAATGCCATTTCTTATTAAATTACACTTAATATATATTTTTTTATAGAGTAAATACGGACAAAATTATACTATTTTAATGACATATTTCCCATTAAATGTGCATAATTTACCATTAATTATTGAAATTAATTTTCTTTAATAAAAGTCTAAAGTAGAATTTTTTTTTTTAAAATTTTTTTAAGTAATAATAAAAATCTTAATTAGAAAATTTTTGAGTAATTTTTTATTTAAGTAATTTTTATTTTTTATTAATATATTGTATTAAAAAATTATTTTTTTTTCTTGCAAAGAAGTTTACATTGAGTATAATAAAATTTACTTTAAACAGTAAAGTTTTAAGGGAATGTAAGTCACTCTGACACATGGTATGATATTGTTCGCTTTGGGCCTGAGCCCGCCCGATTTTGCTCTTAGGTTTTACTCTCAAAAGGGATCATACCAATTAGAGTGACACACCAACATATAAGCACTTCACCTTTCATTTTCCCAGATGATGTGGAATTGAGCACTCGTAACTTACTAATTTGATAATCTGTCAATATCTCACACCTGACCACTACACACCCACTCATAAGGTCATCACACTTTACCCAACTTTATATACTATTACTAATAATACCACAATAGAGCTGAAATATAGAAAAGACGAAAAACTATTGTGTATGTAATAATCCCTTAAAATTTACTCAAGAACCCTGACAAAAAAATATCTCAAATCACTATCAAACAACCTAAAAAAAAATGGAACTTCCGAAAAAAAACAACAGACAAAATGTACTGTAAATAAATAAGTCGAAGATAATGGATTGAAGAATGGAAAAGAATATTTGTTGAATGGGCTGGCAGGCGTGCGGACCCTACACGCGACTTTTGCAGCACGTGTTTGGAAATTGCAGCGGCGGCCAACTTTTAGGTGTTGTGCCATTCACCGTATATTCACGGCAGTGTGCCCCATTCGTCTGCTGTAAATCTCCGCAGCGTTTTCCAGCGTACTGCTACATCTATTACTTTCCTCAAGAGGCGATTTCGAAAACTGTAATTCACAATTACAGTTCCTGAAGTCTTATAGTTTTCGAAATTGGCATTTAAAAGAGAAAATATTTTTTTAGCATTTTATGCGTTAAGTTTTTCAAAATATTTTTTATCAATAATTTATTAGAATGAATTACCTAATTTAATATTTTTAATTAATTATTTATGCACAATACAAATAAATATAAGTGTCATTTTCTTATTTGCTACATGCTTAAATGGATCAATTAAAATAAATAAATAAATTTGATTACAACAAACACTTTTTAATATACATAATATTAAATTACGTTAAAAACAAATATATTGTGTCCAGATATACTGTGTTAAAAATAACTTCATCACCATTGCTATAGGAAATTTACTGCAGTGATGCAGTTGCCATGTCACTATGTCAGTCACAACTAGCTTCAAAAAAAAGTCTTTAGATCTTCATGGATGAGATAATTTTGTGTAAATCCGTGTAATTGGATTTGAGGTTTAACCACTTTGTTTGTACGTCTTTATTTTTATTTTCAAAGTGAAATTTTGTAGAGTCATCTCTCGTAAATTAAAAGTCTATTTGTTTTATTAATTTATTAATTATTATTTATTTCTTATTTTCATAAATTTCATTTGATCCTCTCATGACACATTTGAAAAAAAAATAATAAATAAATAAATAAATAAATTAATATAAGACTCCTCTGGAATGAAAGTGACACCCCATTTAGATGCCCATTGTGACAATTCAACAGGTTAAAAGGCTCATGTTGATGGCACTAGCACTTTTGTATCATTATTTTATTCTTGTATTGCTTTTTAACACCGGCCGACTTTATATCTCTCAGACTCCATTATCACCCATGTTGAAAAGATGAACGTCGTTAACAACTTACCTATTGGCCAGTATAATAATACTTCAATAATCACCAACCACGTGGCTATAAAGAAAACAACCTAATTATTGTTTACGGAGTAATTATTAATGCTAACCACAATACATTACCATTATTAGTACAAGACAATAAGTAGGTTAACATTCATATCAAAGTTAGGAATGATAATTGGAATCTTTATTTAAGATCGAAGTAAATTTATCTTAAAAGCCATAAAAAAATGCATCCAATATCAAAATTTATCTCAGTACACTCAAGAGTCTAGTAAGTCAATTGAAATTGATGCTTCCCAAAATATTATGTTTAAAATTTAACCTCTCTTAAATGAAAATAAATTTTTTGAGTTACATTCACGGGCAAATCCCTAGATATCCTAATTGCCAAAAATAAATTTAGATAAAAAATTTAATGTCCGTGAGCAAGAGAGCCTTGTCAACTCAACTTTACCTTTCAAAAGAAAAAAAAAAAAAAACTCGACTTGTCAATTATTCATACTTTTATCAGTAAATTCTAAATTCTAAAAGTTAAAGGGTTTGATTTTGCATATTCTCAGCCATACTTTTGTACAGTTCATCCACATTGATTTTGCATCATCTCAATCACCACAATTTTTTCTCTCGTCTTCCTCTCTATGCTTTGGTGGTCCTAAATATTCTTATCCTAGCCTTACCAATCAAAGCCAGATTGCTCTGGGAAAGGTTTTTACTAGGGTAACTTCCACTATGAAGTTGTGAAACATATGGTTTAAACTACAAATAGTGATTGTATAATGTTATCAAATCATATCCTTTAAACTACAGATAGTGATGGTATAATCTTATCAAATCATATCCTGTCACTATTTTATATCAAATATTGGGATCATTATTAGCTCTAATGGGTTTGATTCAACTGATTATAAGTACAAAAAATCAAATGCTACATTCCATGACTAGCTTTTAACCTAAAAACCGAATTCTATGACAACTAATCACGATGGTTGCAATTTCAGGTTTGGTGGCATCCTCCGAAAGAAACTTATGGACATACACTAGTTGCTGAACATTTCTTGAAAAATTCATCAAGGTATATATTAACAGAATGTTGGCATAGATCTCTGGAACCTATATATATATATATATATTTGGTTAAGGGTAGTTTTATAGATGAAATAAAAACCTGTACAGTGATGCATCACCAGGCCATCAAGACAAGATTTACAGAGCTTTACAAGATCTCAGCCAGTTTTGGGGCAACCAATTAACATTTAAAATTAAAAGTCTATGGTAGTCTTATGGGTTGAGTTGTGGGTCTGTGGCGTGTTAACCATTGTTAGTGCTGGTAAGTTGGCTCAGCCAATTTTGCCTTTTGATACACATACATGGGCCAGTCACTTGGGCCGGCATATAGTTGATATGAAGCCTGGTGTTTGGACTGAGTTCTGGCTCAGGGTTTTGAGTGAGAATGGGCTTGATCTAACTGGCCCACAATTCCCGGGTTCTTCTCCATGTGCTAAACTTAAGTAGTCCGGGGAGAATTTGCATCTCAAACTTCATCTTAAAACCTAACAAAATTGCACTTAGTTTAGAGTGCCCTTCCCTTTCTCATTTATCGTTTTCTCACTCAGTTTGTTAAATAGAAACAGGAAGGGAAAAAAAAAAAAAAAAAAAATGAGTGAAAAGAAAATTTATTTTTCTAGTATGCGTTATCACAAAAAAATTTTTAAAAAAAAATGTTAAAAAATTTCACATTATAGTTTAGATATTAAAATTGTTCTTATTTTATAAAAATAGTAAAATAATATAATAAATAGTAGAATAATAAAGAATTAATAATTAGTGATGTATATAAAAATAATGATAAAGTTTTTAATTAATTTAGACCTTACAAACTATTATTTATTTCATTTTCATATATGATGGAAAACAAATAGGAATACAAGTCAAGTTAATTCAAATCCTATCAATGATAAAGTTATTGTAGGACTGTAGTTTTTTGAAATCGATAAAAATTGTGTTGTTGGTCCCAAATATTGATGAAGTTATTAAGTAAATACTATTAATGAAGTTGTTGGATAAAATAGAAAAACAAAAAAATAAGACATTACTTTCATGTGAAAATATTTTGGAGAAAATAGAGGGTTGTGAAAATCTTAATTTTTAAGAACTTTTCATTTTAGATCCAACAAAACTCTAAAAGTATTTTAAAATTTTCAATTTTTTTTTCCTTTCTAGTTAATTCTATTTAATCACACTAGCCTTAAGAGCTATCAGTTGATTAAAATTGTACTTATATATATATATATATATAAGTACAATTTTAATCAACTGATATATATATATATATATTGTTAAGAAATTGATACACACACACACATATATATATATATATTGTTAAGAAATTGATACACATATTTGCCTCGACTGGAGATTCCATTACCCTATACTCCTATAGCCCTTCGTTTATATGTTTTACCCTTATTTAAGGGTGAACACGTGATTATAATATAATTAATTTTGAGTCTCGTAAATTATTTTATACATGGATGTACATAAATTCATTATTTCTTGAATTGTAGACCATGAAGTTGAATTTTGAACCACAATTCTTTAATCGAATTGTGGCTGTAGTTTAGTGGTAAGAATTCCACGTTGTGGCCGTGGAGACCTGGGCTCGAATCCCAGCAGCCCCAAATTTCTGCTGATGATACTTTTTTTATTTATAAAGGTTCTTTTTACAATGTACTGTATGGTTTTTTTTTTTTTTTGGTTATGTCCTGTAAAACAGAACTCTAAACCTCTTTTGGAGATCATACTAACGTAATTTTAGATAATGGCTGAATCAAAAAAAAATTTCTAGAATCAGTAAAAATGTCAACACAATAAATTGGCTCCAAAATGTAGCCAAAAAAAATCTTTGAAAACCATCTTCCCCATTTCAGACGACACCATGAGACTTTTCAAAATAAAACAAAAGTAGATATTGATGGAAGTGGTTAAGATAAACAGAAAACGTGATACATAAGTCGATACTGATTGAGACACTGGACCACCCCAGGAAAATTCAAAGTGACCAGAAGCCACATTTATAAGTCGTCTTGACCAGGTCAGCCTCTTGAGTCCTGTGGAGAAAATCAGAACTAATTGAACAAGGGTATTTAACTTATTAGAAAGCATATGATGAATTTCCAAGAAAGGACTCAATTTTCTTCCAGTTTTACCCCCCATCACACACAAGAAGTCTTCTGGTCCAACTTGTCCTCCCTAGAATGGGAGTCACAGAAAAGTCAAAGCTCAATCTGCATTCAAACACGTCATGTTTAACAAGTAATGTAACATGCATAAAATTCAAAACTTAGCAATAGGTCTGTACAATTACTAATCTCTCAGCCTCTGCTGATGCATTCATATTCATATCATGTGAGTTTGAGTTTATTCATTTCACATTTATATAGCATACACTTGTTTTAAACATTGTCTAGGCTTCAATTCGAACCTTAATTATCTAGGGTGTAGTTCAGTAATTGATGCTTCATTCACAGACCATTCGACTGACTTGCTTGTAGGTTGATCTGACTTGCTTGTAGATTGATCTGACTCCAGCCCTTTTGGTATGCTCGAATCGGCTCTGCTATGGCCAAAGACCGGAGGATGTTGAGGCAATTGTAGAGTAATAGAATAACTGTTGAGCATAGTAACCACTGATGCCATGGAGGGCCTGGCATCCACATCTTCTTGAACACACAGTAAGCCAATGTGGATGCATCTCATGACTTCATTTCTTGAATGAGAATCTGCCAGTGTTGGATCCATCAATTCCATGGGTGTTCCATCCCTCCAGTGTTTCCAAGCCTGTGACAAGTGAAGTTAAAAAGATGTGTGTTGTTCCTGTTGAGATGCTCATATTGATATCGACAAACAAAAATAACATTGACACATTCAGTATGCACTCACATAGCTCAGAAGGTCTCCGGCACCGTCTAATTCATAGAAATTACTATTTTTCTTGCCGGTTATGATCTCTAGAATCAACACTCCAAAACTATACACATCAGACTTCACAGAGAATTGTCCATGCATCGCATACTCTGGAGACATGTAACCACTGCAATCCAACACCGTTGGTAAAAACACAACAACAAAGTACAAAGTCTATTTGACACTACTTCATAATAAAGCTAAACGTTTGATGATCTAATGACCAAAAGTTAATGGAAAACCAACAATTAAAGGAGACATTACAGGTACTAGTTAGAAGGAGGCTAGCTGTTTGTCTAAGTTGAAGAAGTTTGGATTATCAAAATGACCTTACCCCTAATTTTTTTTTTTTTTGGCCCCTACTAAGTTCCAGTTGAGATTAGACATTCTGAATTCATTAATGCAAAATGTGAGAAAGAGAGAAGCAGGGGACGTTTGGGATTGAAAACTTACTATGTCCCAACGATTCTACTTGTATTTCCTTGAGTTTGATCAACGCCAAAAATCTTCGCCATGCCAAAATCTGAAATTTTTGCATTCATATCTTCATCTAAAAGTACATTGCTAGCCTTGAGATCACGATGTATAATTCTAAGTCGAGAATCTTCATGAAGATAGAGAATTCCACGTGCAATGCCTCCTATAATCTTGTAACGTTTCGACCAATCCAATAGAACTTGTTTAACCAGATCTATACATTGATCATCATAAATATTAAAGTAAGAATCTAGGATTTAGATTTCATAACATTACATAATAATGTGATTCAATAAACGGGTAAATGCAGTGTACTAATACCAATTATACCATGACTCGCAATGGAATCCAAAATAAATAAACATTTTCTTCGGCATTAGAACATCTATATGGCAGTATATATGTTCTTCTAAGATCCATTTTTTTTTTTTAACAGTTAATGTGTTGTCATGGACATCTTATTTGTATTTTGAAAGGAGTGGAAGATGAGACAAAAATAGATAAATTTAATGACTAGATAAAGTTTTAGAGATGAGCCAAACCAAAAAGGAAATAGTCAAGGCTTTTGTTTGGGACGAATTCATAGATAAGTATCTTTTCCTCTCCTTCCAAGCAGAATCCCAGCAATCTCACTAGATTTCTGTGTTGAAGCTTGGCTACCACTAAAACCTCATTCTTAAATTCTTCTGCACCTTGTTGGGAAGTTGTGGACAGTCTCTTCACAGCTATCTCTTGTCCACTTGGAAGTGTACCCTGCGTATATATGCCATAATGAATCAATTATTGAATATTTTTTCCGAAATTTCAGAAACTTGTAATGTTATGGAGTGCATGAATTTGGCATACTTAAAATTTTGGGGGAACTAAATAAATATGGTCTTTTCGTCCTTAATTTTCCAAAATGTGAACAATCTAAGTGGTCTAACCCATCCACTGGTTGTTGAAATAGCGTAGCTAATCGTATCAAATTTATTAGTTCTAAAATATGAGCATAAATATGAGCTCTAATTCATAAGATTTTATTACCACAAGCACCGGTATTCATAAGATTCTGGTACTAAGCGTTTTGCCAGACTCTGGTGGTAAATCATGAGTGAAAACTTGAATATCACTTCATAACTTTGTTTACCAATCTGTAAATTTTCACATGGATATACATTTCGATAAACTTAAGAACAAGTGCACAATTTTTAATATCCAAAATCAGAAGTCGTTGTGTATTGTCAAATGGGGTTTTGGTATTGAACAAAATATATAGAGACGAAAGTTTATGGTTTGGTAATTATTTTATGAAAAGTTTATAAATAGAATTGGTCTAATTTTTATTATATTTTTTCATAGTTCAATAAACATAGGTCCTCAACAACATAATTTGGTAGCTATCCTTGAAATAAAGTACAGGTCATAATCCCTTACCTTATAAACAGTACCAAATCCACCTTCACCAATTTTGTTTGCAGGAGAGAAGTTGTTTGTAGCTGCTTCAACTGTTGCAAAATCATATGACAAGGATTGTACTGTTGTGATATCATCCGCAGCTACACGATCAAACATCAAATGTATTGACATTAGTATTTCTGATACTGAAAAAGTAAATTTGGTTTAAGGAAATGCAGTTGAATTATTTTCTTCTTTTTGTCTTACCACCAGATTCCTCTTTAATAGTATTGTACTTCTTCTTTTTCATGACAATGCACCAAAAGCCAATGGAAAAAAGCAGCACTGCCACAATTATCGGGACAACAATGGCAATAATTTCTGCCGTTGAGAGTCCCCCATTTCCTGTATCAAAGAAAAATGCTTGATTGAAAATTCTCTATGAACAAATAATTTTTCCCTGATGAAATTGATTTCATAAAAAAAGTTACATTAAATAAGAGGAAAGTGGTATAGAATATCGCAAGGGTCATATATTGCAACCAGATCCTCACTGTACAATGGTAACAATTTTGATCGCCCCAGCAATGGATTTACTAAATTAAATCTAATAAATTAAGCTGCAAACAAATTTCATTTAAATTCAATGAGTTGAGATTCTATAACCAATGACTTCAATTTTATAATTGAAAGAATAATGCTATCAATGAGAACTAAGAGTCACGAGCTCTCTATATTTAACATAAATATGTATTAAATGATTTTTTCACAGATGTCAAAAACAGTCTTAATTCACTTACTAAATACAGAGATCTCATGCCTCTGAGAAAGCTTTCTTAGCAGCATTACTCTAGTTGAAATTAGTTGAAATTAAAGTAAGGCATTTAAGATGTGGAGTTCACCTTTACTAGTAGAAACTGGAGGAGCTGGAGGAGAAAGAGGAAGAGCTGGTGCAGGCACCGGAGCAGATGCCGGCGTTGTAGAGGCAGTGAGATTGAAGAAAGGGTAAAACTCGTAGCGAATATTGCAGCTCGGAAACAGAACTCTACCCCCCAGCTTTATGTCGCAGCAACTTGGAAATCTTCCTATAGCCTCTCGAAGGCAGATGTTGCAAACATCACTAGACAGGTCCGGCGTGCACTGCACAAGTCCATACAGCTTCTGAAACGATGAGTAATTGGTTTCTGTACCTGCAAAATTCTTAGCTGACCCGCGACCACTCACAGCCCAAGTCGCTAACTGGTCCATTATGTTCCCCAACGCCTCCCTAAACCGCGTAGGCTCGGTCACATTCTGTGGGTTGATCATATAAACCGCCACGGATGTGTCCGCACTGGAGAAAATATTTCTGTTGGAGTAACGTAATAAGCAATAGTCATACCAAATAACGGCCACTGTCCTGTTGGGACACTGCTGCAGTATCTCTTGACTTGCATTTCGGACACAATCGTGACATTGATTGGTGGTGACATCGCCCCGGCATAGAAAGAGGCCGTAGACTGCGTTGGGGCTTCGACCGGCAGTGAAGTTATAGAATCCGGTGTCGGGTTTGGTGGCGTTGGAGGAGAGGTTGGAGAGGAGGAGATTGAGATTGGCATGGTAGGTGCTGTTAAGAGTAGTGCTGTAAGTGGTTGTGTTTGGACAGATATAATACAAAGGTTGGGAGGTGATTTTAGTGGTGAGGAGGCTAAGCAAGCAAAGAAAGCAGAGAAGGGCTATGGAGATATTGAAGGAAGGCATAGTTGTGGGTGATCAAACCTGTCTTCTTTAGATTCGGGCATAGAAAGGGTTTTGGTTTTTATCAAAATTAGATTCATAGATATAACAGAGGAAATGAGTGGTAAAGGGGCTCTGGGTTGACGCGGCTTTGGAAGACTTGTTAGGTGGCAGTCAATAAAGCTATTTTGATTTTTAGGCCCAGATGGAGACCACTGAGATTCTTTGTTGTATAAAATAATGGGGGAGTAATGACAATATTGATGAGGAGGACAGGAGTGGAACGGATATATGATGGGTTGGAAGTTTCCTCGCAGATTGCACCATGAAAAGGTCCACCCATTTTTGCAGGTATTTGGCGTGCCCGTACTCACAATCGGACCATATTTTATACACGTTGATACATTTCATTTCCAATTTTGTATGTTCGGAACAAATAAATTTCATTTACATACATGTCGTGACTGGTTTATTTTAGAACTAAAAAAAATCTTTATTTCTTTTAAAATGGGAATTAATGATGGTTATACGCCTAGAGTGTGTTATTTCAGGAAATTGATTAATAAATCAGAGGATAGAGAAGATAGGAGGACATCTAATCATAATTCAATATTGCCATGAAAGGTTTGGGGAAAAAAATCTTCCCCATTTACTTTATCACTGGATTGGTCTAATAAAGGGTAAACAGGACTCGACATTTGAGAAATTTATATTTACCAAACTATCAATTTATATATACAATTTTCATATAAAACATATATATATATATATATATATATATATATATATATATATATATCAATATTTAATGAATTTAATTTTCAGTCTATGGGTCTCGCAATTTATACGTACTATAAAACATATATACTTTATGGGTCCCACTTGACAGAGTAAGTGACAGTATTGCAATATTTAATTAATTTAATTTTCACTTTATGGATCCCACTTGACAAAATAAGTGGCAAAAAAGTTGAAAATTAAACTTCCTAAAGAGAAAAAAACGAAACATTCCCTACAAAAAGTCAGCTTTGTATCCAAACGAAATGAAAAATTCCCCTCTTCAAAATTAAGTCTGAAAGAAGCAAAACTAGACCAAACGTAAAGTGGTAAAATAGACCTTTGCCATGTCATTCTAATACTCTTAGAGTTCATAGGGGTATAATGGTCTTTTTGCATGGTCATATAATAATAATAAACCCAAAAATGGTAAAATAGACCTTTGCCGTATTGAAATAGTGATATGAAAGCCTTCAGGGACAAAATAGTCATTTTCTGGTCAAAATACAACATTCATACCCTTCGGGGGTAATTTTGTCATTTTTTAGGGTTATTCTATGCTTTGGCTGGGGTTTGGGGGTCATTAGGTAATTATATTAAAATATGAAGTTTTTGTGCAAATCTCAATTCATCTAACCGGTTAAGAGATTCCTCCTAACCGAGTAGATGAATGGTCCAATAAGATTGCAAGTCATCAGATCACATGTAACCTCTCCTAACCGAGTGTATGAATGGTCCAGTGGAAAAGAAATTGTAAAAACAAAATCTAACCGGTTAGGAAACCTTATCTAACCGGTTACTAAGGAAAATTATCAAATCCCTTATCTGCCCCTTACATCTAACCGGTTACGAAGAATCTCCTCCTCGGGTAGTACAACATCCAAAAGCTATCTAACCCGTTAGGAAAACCCCTCTTAACCGGTTAGATGGGAAAAGCCCATCAAACCAACGCACTGCCTCTTCTCATCTAACTGGTTAGGTGATCCTATCTAACTGGTTAGATGATGCCCACATAATGAATTTAACGAAATTTTTTACTTCCCACACCCAATCAAATGCAATCTTCAAAACACCTAAACATGAAATTCAGGTTCCATAAACATCATTAACCATTAAACATTGCATAAAATTTACAAATATCATCATTCATACATTTTTGAAACATTTATACAAGTACAAAATAATATGTTTTACAAGATGATGAGACCTCCATGGCCATAATTACAAAAGCTTCACTTGAAGCTCACAAAATAATATAATTACATTGCAAAATCATTGTTCATGCTAGTCTATTTCAAAAGATGTCAAAAGTCCGTTCTACACTTCTAAGCTTGTGAGGGCGCATCGTCTACGACATCCTTGCCATATCCTGAAAATGATAAATACGGGGAGAGCACAACGGCTCAGTAGAGAATCCTAAAACATTAGCTTTAGGCTCCCTTGATTCAACAAACAAGGAATAGCTAAAGGAACCCGCAATCAACACAAACATACTATCATGTTATGAAATACCATGCTTTCCCGACCACCATTCCCGGCCTAACTCAACACACACTGAAAACTGCTAATTGACTTTACTGAGGTGAGATTGATTAGCCATTTGTAATTCCAAATCCGACAACTATTTAGGCCTAGCAATCAACATTACACGTTCAAATCCGGCACGCACTCCCTCTAGGTCGAATTAGCCCCGGGCTCACGAAACCCGGTTCCTTTCATAAAATCACTTTCTTTTTAAAAACATTTCAACCGCTATTCCCAAACCATGCTTATGCCATGAATGAAATCATGCTTTAGAGAGATTAATATTTTCATGCTTATAATTTCTAATTACATATTAGAACATGCTCATCACCATCATCATCAATTTCAACATGCTTTCTTTACAAATTACCATCTCAAATATACATTTTAACAACATTTAAAGCATGGTTTCAACACTAAGCACAAAGGCACCAAATCAATTATTAAATCATAATTTTTCACATATATAGCATGGGATCAAAACATGAACTCAATTGAATGCAAAGCAAGATGGTTTAAACACCCCTACCTTAAAAATGCAACCCAAAGCCCTTAACTCCCAAGCTTGAAATTCTCCAAATACATGCAAGACTGGTTGAGAAATGTAGATCTTAAAGAGTAGAACAACTTTTCTTTTTGCTCCCCACCTAAATCTTCCTTAGCTAGCTCAAATCTTAGAGAGAAACTTGAGATTTTAGAGAGAGAAAGTGAAATGGAGGAGAAAGAGAGTGTGACTGGAGGTGAGGGAGAGAAGAATGAAAATATGGTCCAAGCTTGGCCAATTTCTCCTTAAATGTGTGGTCTAAAATGGGTCAAAAGTCCACCCATGCTCAAATGCCAAAAATACCCTCCAAAGATCACTAAAACATCACCATTGCCACAAAATATCCATATCCACCCACATGATACATATACATACACATTTAATACATTAACTCACATATAGATAAATGCATGGTGATGGGAAAATAATGCCGGGACCCATATGGTAGGCAAAACGATGCACAATATAAATAAATGAAAATAATGCCAAAAAAAAAATCTGGGACGCTACAGTCATGTCTCGGGTCATTTGCATACCATGCATGGTGATTATGTGCTTAATTATGTTGTTTAAATGTTGGTGTATAGTTGTGATTTAAATGGACTATATATATATATATGAATATTAAATTAAGGTGGGATAGTTTTTGTGTTAGTGGAGGGACCCACCACTGACATATTTGGGGCTAAGAGGCCATTGTGTGGCCTCACATTCTCTCTATCTCCCAGCACTCTCTCTTCCTCTCTCCTATTTTTCTTTTTCTTTTTCTTTCTACAAGAAAGCTTCAATCTTCAATTAGTCTCTCATTCTTTGAAAATTTTGGGCATCGTTTGCGGCAAAACGGAGAGCACGACGAGATCTACATGTGAGTACAAGTAATTTCAGCTTTGGTGCACTCTAGGGATTTCGAGTTCTAGGGCATAAATTGGGGATTTTCATCATTTTAATGATAGGGGTTTCTAATTCCCACTTTCTTGCACCTTTGTGAATTTTTTTATTATAATTATTGTCAAGCATGCTTAATTTGAGTTGATTGCCTCTAAAATGACTTAATTATTGTCTATAAAGTTTATGATATGTGTATATGTTGATGTGTATGTAACACATGTCAAATTATTAATTTATATGCCTATTATATTTGTTAACATGCTAGAACTTGTTAGATGGAAGTGTGCTCATTTGTGTGGTGTGAAAACCCTTATTGTCATAGCATTGAAAGCATGAGACATACATGCATATCATGGGGAATGAATAGAGGGGAATGTTTTGAAATAAATGAAAAAGGTTTGGGAAAAGGCTTTTATAAAGTGGGTTTTGAGAAAACCCAAACGCCGTGGAGGTACTAAGGGTCTGTGGAGTTAATGTAACCTAGAGGGAATTAGGGAAATCACCACATCGTGGTTGAGCTATCTGGGCCTTAAATGACGCCGCGGAGGTACCAAGGGTCAAGGACAGTAGTCAATCCTTTCTCGTGTTGCTGCGGAGTCACCAAAGGATGAGTTATATTAACAATTTGAAAAGTGATGGATGGTTTTGAAAATGGGGAGCGATAGAACACGATATTACATTTCATAGCACCATTGCTCATTTGGACTTGAAATTGATGTCGTATTTCCTCGGTATAGCATGATCCCATTCCCTATTGTTCTATTCATTGTTTAATTTCACAAGGTCACAAAAGGTGTGTCTTCAGTACCAACTACTGAGCAATTTGCTCACCCCTTATATTTAACATTTTTCAGGTCATGGGAAGGAAGTGGCGGATGACAATCCACCGCAAGTTTGAAGGTTGCTAGAAGTCCAAATTTTATTATCTTTTGTATTTTTGGCCATCCTTTTGAAAAAGCTTATTTTGGACTGTATTTAAACTTGCTATCATGGCCATGTAATTCAACATGAGCCTTAGCTCTGTTTTGATGTAAATTTGAACAAAATGTAAAGACTATACTTTTCATTTACGAAATGAATGGGAAATGTTGTAACAATGTGATAAATTGTCGATGCTTTTCATCATGGTATGAAATATCATTTTTAAAGTGTGTTGGGACAGGTTTAGAACAGTTTTGAGGCTTCTACTAAAGCCTCACTTCATTCTCTCAGTCACAGCATTTCAACAGTTGAATTACAGCTTGAAGAGCCATTTCGGTCGACTGAAATGGGTACTTTAGTTGACCGATTCTTCCAGTAGCTTTTGGAAGTTTTAGGTTCACAACCAATTGACCGGTTGGCCATTTCAGCCGACCAGTACAGGGGGTTTTGTTTCGGTCGACCGAA